AGGTGTTGATGCTCTTGATTTTAGGTTATAAAAGTTGTACTGAAATCATTTGAGAAACTTTTATTTTCACTGTATAAAGGGCTATGAAGACCTCTGCTTTACATAATTGAGTAGCAAGCAAATAGTTTTATTCATTAGCACAGGGTATCCAGTTTCTTCAAGAGATTTTTTGCTGTACTCCAAAGTTAAAAATGGTGTCTGATGAAAACTCCTTTTTTTTTTTTTTTTTTTTTTGTCTTGTTTTGCAGAACCAGGGATTGAACTCAGGCCCTTGCGCTTGCCAGGGAAGTGCTTAATTTTACTGAGCCATCTCCCTGGCCCCTAATGAAAACTCTTGATTTAGAAATTTTACATAAAAATTTTTTAAAAAATTTAAAACAAAAGGGCAGGTTTTATCTATTATGGTACTATTGTAATTTGCAGTTTTGCACGGGGAACAATACAATACAATACAGGACACTTATAAGATTATTTTATAATAGCCACCCAAAGAGTCATGTACAAAAAGAGTGCAGGAAATTGGTCCATACACTAAAGACCAAAGAATCCACCTGAGGACCTGGATCCCATAGCAATGTCCTGCATGAGTCTAGCTGAAGACCTAGAGACCCTAACAATGTATCCCCACATGGGTCCAAATAGAGGCCTAGAGTCCAAAGCAATGTTGCATGTAGGCCTGTTTCATGAATGTGCACTGGGAAGGCCCAAAGGTCAGTGGTGAAAGCTATAAAGTATGTGCCAGTGGTATGAAGCGTCTGCTAGCAGGCTGAGGGATCTGCGCTGGAGCCAGGAAGTGGTGCTCAAAGAACCAGAGCTCCCCTGAAAGATACAACAGCCATCCTCAGTGACTGTGAGGTCTCAAGCTCTTCAGATGACAACAGTCAAGTTCCCATCAGGAAAGCCAAGGTAACAAGCTTCTCCTGGAGACTGAGCAGCGCACCATCTTACCTTCTAGAACCAGGAAGCAATGCTGAAAGTGAAGATCAGAGCTCTCCACAAATGAATCATAGCCATTCCCAGTGATACCAGCACCGTGAATTCCTTCAACAGTGAGAACACTTGAAGGACTGGCCAGATAGCTCAGCAGACTAAAGCGCCTATTTAGGCAGGCACAGGGACCAGGGTTCAATCCCCAATGTGCCTTGCCAACCCTGCCCCTGGTACACTCTGAGAGGGCTACTGAGACTGGGCATGGTAGTGAGTGAGTGCCTGTAATCCCTGCACTTGGGAGACTGAAAACAGGAGGATCACTGTGTAGTGGGACCCTATAGACCCTGTACTAAATACATAACAAAACAAACAATGAGAACACTTGAGATGATGAGGAAAGCTAACATGGCAAGGTCCTCCAAGAAAACCAACCAGCCCAGGAAAACCAACAGCTCCCAGCTGATAGGTCAGGATAAAAAGTTTCCCAGGCACCTTGCCCCAAACACTCTCCCTCTTGGTGTCCCAGACACCCAGCCCCCAAACTCTCTCCCCCTTGACCCCATGCAGAGCCAAACCCCAAACCACAGAACAAGTCCCCTGACTTTGACCTGGGCAAGCAGAAACTCTCTTTTGCTAACATTAAAAGCCCCCCACAGACCAGGTAGCTCTGCCAAGATTAGCTCTCCCTTAGCTGTTTCAGCCAGCGATCGCCCTCACTAAAAGATCCTATATGTTCTCCTGTTCCCCCTTTATTCACTGCTCTCTTGGTCCACTAGACAGCCAGCCTGCTTGGTGTCCCCAATAAATCTACTCCTGTCAGAAAGCCTGGTCTGGTCAATTGCGTGGGTTTCTACTGAACACCAACAGCTTCTAAACTTCCTCTGCAGATCTGCCTCTTATGTTACCTGAAACAATCCTCAGGTGGGCTTCCCACACCCAGCACCAATGCTGGTTCAGCTGTTACAAGTTGAACATCAGTTGTTAATCCACCACAAGTATGAAGCATTTTCCTTCCCTATATAGTTTTAAACTTTGTTGGAAAATGTTTTCAGGCAATGATTTTATGAACATTCATGACTAAACATTGTGCTACTTTGTGAGGTTCACAAATTCAGTATGAAATATAAGTAACCTATAATTTAAACAGTAAACAAAGTCATGATAGTGGCACATACCTGTAATCCTACACTCTGGTGGCTGAGGCAGGAGGTTGGTTTGAGCCTGGCAAGGGAAACTAAATGATTTGCAAGCACACTATTAAAATAAAATAAAAAGAGGTGGGGTTGGAGCTTAGGGCAGAGGCTCTGGATTCAATCCCTAATACTATCCTGCCTCCCCCACCAAAAGCAAAGAGAAATTATCAGGAATAAAAAAAAAGAGGAATATTGCATGCTACTTCAAAAAATATATTCAAGAGTTTAATATATTCACATTATACAAATTTATTTATTTTTGTAAATATATATATCTTAGGGAAGGTTCTACAGGGTTGTCAGGATCTCACTACTAGATTCAACTCATAGTGGATCCACCTGTTTACAGCCTCCTAAGAGCTGGGATTGTAGGCGTGCACCACCATGCCCAGTCTCAATGGCTGTCTCAGCTCGCCCCCAGGGCTGGGGCCAACACAGCAGGCCCAGGGATCAAACTCCCAACCCTTGAGCCTGCTCACAGTTGCTTTAATCTGCCGAGCTATTTGGCTGGCCCTTATATTATACAAATTCAAAAGGTTAAAGAAAAAAAAAAACTAGGCATGGTGTCTCATGGGTGTAATCCCAGCACTCAGGAGGAGGTTGAGCTAGGAGGATCACTGCAAGTTGAAGATCAGCCTGGGGGCTAAAAGCGTGAGAACAAGGTAGAGTCAGACTGCACAGTGAGACCCTGTCTCAAAAAAAAAAAAAAAAGAAAAAAAAAAAAAAAAAAAAAAAGAAAAAGAAAAGGATAGAAAGTTAATCTCTGTTCTATCTTTGTCCCTCAGGCTCTCAGTTCCATTCTTTTAGAAGCAGTTACTATTGCTACTGTCTGGTATTTTCAGAGATAATAGAAGGAACTATTTTTTTTTGTTTTTTTATTTTAATTTTATTGAGAAATATGAATGAGATAGTTTCAAAGCTAATAGGACAGTTTCAATAATCAATACATTGTACATTGTTATCTTCTTAGTAGTTATCCATAGTATAAGAAGCAGAGATATCCTGTCCAAACACTATTAGTACACCTTTTTCTTCTCATTGAATTAAGAGAAAGTAGCTGTATATCTATCCTATTTTGTATATATAAATACATAATGATCTTTCCTTTGTATCCCCCTTTTTTTTTGTTTAGTTCTGTCAGAGGTGGGTATTGTATTGGCATCTAAATACTATAGGTGTTTGAATTCAGCAGAATAATCCAACACTGTCTAGCAGTCTGTAGTAGTAGTAGGTTATCCTCAGAAGTTATTGACTTGAGCCTTTTACAGCTCATCATATTAATATGGCTTTACTTTATATACCTCGTTTTTATACTTTACTGCTGGATGGTTAAGACCAAGATAAAGCAAGACCTATATAACAAGAAATGTAACTTTTGTATCTGGTAAGGTCAGCCAAGTACCCTAGGATTTATCCTGTAGCCCTGTACCACACTTTGTAGACTCTTTGTCAGTGTCAGCCATGAGGATGAGTCACAGCCATTGCTTGACCAGTTTGCTCTCTGCGAAAGCCTGAGAGAATGTTTTCTCTCCATGTGACTCTCCCCAGGCACACTTCACATCATCAATCACATTCCTCTGTGGCTCCATAATCTCCTTGATCAGAAAATTTGGAGCACAACTGAGTTACAGGATGTTACAGTACAGGTTCTCCTATGTCCTGAGTCTTCACTGACCTTGAAAGGCGAGGGCCAGAACGTTAGCTGACCTTGCAGCCCTTCAGAAGGAACTATTTTTATTTACAATTTGTGATTAATAAGTACTACATGTTCATGATGTAATTTTGGAGTACACAATAAAAAGGATTCTCTTTGCTCCTCCACAGCTCCTAGTCTCCTGATTCCTTCTCCAGGGATGTTCTTAGGTGTTTGTAAAAATAATCATTGCATAAGGGTTATTGTTATTCAGCATGGTGGGTTTTTGTTTTGCTCTCTTGAGATAGTCTTGCTTTGCAGTTCTGCTGCCTTGAACTCACATCAGTTCTCCTCCCTCAGCATGCCGAGTGCTAAGATTACAGGCATGTGCCATCATACCCAGCTGCATAGTGGTTTTCAAAATACCAACCAAAGTGTAATATAATTTGTTCAAAATGATAAAAATTCTTCATATGTAGAAAATCTGCAAAATTTGAAAAAGATTACCATCATACTGCTATACATTTCTTTCAAAATTTTTAATGGGCACAGACATCTATCTTGACCTGTATTATTTTTTAGAATATTACAATTCTTTTGTGTGTGTGTGTGTGTGTGTGTGTGTGTACGCGCGCGCGCGTGCGCGCGCACATGCGCACATGGGCACGTGTATGTGTGTTTGGCTTTTTGAGACAGGGTCTTGCTATGATCCTCCTGGCTTAGCCTCCCAGGTGCTAGGATTACAGGTGTGCCCCATCACTCCTGGCTACAGTGTTAAATTATTGATACAAATAATAAAAAGGTTTAAAACAAAAACATGTGTTATTAACTTGAGAATATTTTGTGTCCAGAATTTGGGAGCAAAGTTTATCTCATGAATGTATGTATTTTTTTGAGGTGTTAGGAATTGAACCAGGTCCTTCCCCTTACACACTCTGGGAAGGCGCTGTCCACTGGGATACACTCCTAGGTCCTGGCAAGGCAGTCTCTCTTTCTCTCTCTCTCTCTCTCTCTCTCTCTCTCTCTCTCTCTCTCTCTCTCTCTTTCATTTTTTTGTTTGTTTTTAAGGCAGTTTCTCAAATCAAAAGTAATTATAGGAGCCTTTTGAGTTACTGTATAGGTATTGCATTGTTGGTTTGGAACAATGTCCTTCAGATGCATGTAGGCCTCCAGAGCCCTAGATGTCGCTGTGACTCCCACTTAGGCGTGAGCCTGCGTCTCTATGGTTATAAAGTTGGGGGCGGAGAAGCCAAGAGTAGCTGCGGAATGATGGCTGATGAAGAGGAAGAAGCTAAGCTCATCTTGCAGAAATTGCAGGTGAGGCCGTAGATTAAAATCCAGACGTGCTTTTGCCCCTGGAGGAGCAGCGGGCAGTGCGGTGTGTCCACGCCCGCGGGTCTCGCAGCGCTGCGGCGTCCGTGCGGTTACTATAACAACTGCGGGGTGCGCCGCCCGGCCCCGGGAGCCTCGGGCCGCTCGGGTCTCGGTCTGTGGCGTCCGGTACCTGGGCAGCTGCGTGCCGGCTCCTTCAGTCCGGCGTGGAGCAGGATTTGTTGCTCCCAACGGTATCTCTATATTGTTGGAGGGGAGGCCCCCGCGGTGCACTCTATAAAGAATGGCACGTACTTGTAGGTGGCAGATCCGTGGCAACTGCTAGCACGTGTTGTTTTGATCCCCACAAGGACCATTTTTTTCACACCTTTCTGCTCTGGGATTGGCGACAATCACAGTGGTGGCCGTCGCACCAGGGTTCTTGTTTACTTCCCCTAGACTTAGCAGTTTGGATAGTTTTTGGACACTAATAACCCAAGATTTTCTTAAACTTTAGAAACATAGTTTGTGTTCCAAAACAGCCTAGAATTTGAACATTAGCACCACGTCAGGCTTTTACTAGCTTCTAAGGCAAACGTTTAAGCCTTGGTGACCGATGTGTTTCTGAGGTTAAAATAATAACACTTTCAGAATGTAAGTTTTAACTGACTGCTGAGTAACGTGGATTAACTTTATTCTGAGAGTACTGACTGAGATTAGAGATTTCTCATCCTGGCTGTGTATTAGAAACATGTGTATATGTTTGTCTGTCTACAGGAAAAGAAAAGGTTTACTAACCATGGTTATCCCAGTGGTTGTTTAGAGTACTAGCAAGTTTTGTTTTGTTTTGTTTTTTTTCTATATTTACATCTACCTAGTTGAATTTTAAAAACTGTTATATTTCCTTGAAAAAAAAATGTTTAGTCCAGCAAAACCAAACTGACCAAAAACAAAACAAAAACACAAGACAGACTTTTGTTTTTATTTCATTTATTTATTTATTTTATTTTTTGAGACAAGGTTTCACTGTGTAGTCCACACAGGCCTTGAGCTCACTATGTAGCCAGCGCTGGCCTTGCTGAGTGCTGGCATGCACGGTGTGTACCAGCATCATGGCTCAACTTCTTCGTATGTGTGCTTCAACAACCAAAAACAAACATTTTGACTGTCTCTAAAACTCCTAATTTGCAACTATGCCATTTGTAAGACGAAAGGAAATTGTTTTAATTTTTGCAGAAAGCTTTTTTCCTGGATATGTTCATAGCAGATGCTCTGTGTGCCTAGCAAGAGGACACTTGAGTTCGTTGCAGTAAGTTCAGGAATGCAATGAAGAAGTGAAGTATAAAATTGAAAAGGATTGGATAGTGTTCTTACTCTCCATGGGAAGGGGCATAAGCTTTGATTTAACTGTTAAAAGATAATTTAGGATAGCAGTAATATATGAAAGGGTATTTGCCAAAGTGTGTTTCACAGATCATTTTCGTTATAGTCATTAGGGGTGCTTGTTAAAAATGCAGAATTTTGAATTTTGATTCTAAAATTGGAATATCTGGTAGGCTGGGTCATGGAAATTATATAGTAAAATTACAAAAGCACTGCTGCAGAAGGTGCAGTTCTGTTCTGTATTCTCAGTATTTTTTCCCCCAATTTTCACTGATTTTTTTTTTCCTCTTTCTGATACTGTTCATTGAAACTGAGACCTCAAATATTCTATTCTTGTTTTTCAATTTTTACTTTTACGAAGAATATGTTTGCAGTATATAATGATTACATTCATCATGGAGAATTTGTACATATACATGGCACTTCTTGGTTCTTTTTATGTCCCCTTTCTTCCCTCCCCCCTCCTTTTTATAGGGGAGGGATACTGGGGGTCAAACTTGGGACCTTGTGCTTGCCAGGCAGGCACTTATACCAGTGAACTATCTCCCTGGCCCTCCTTCCCCCCCC